TTGATACCTCACTGTAATTTACAACGCGCGTCAAAAAACGTTTCGCTTGTTAAAATTTGACTAACGAACAAAGTTTCACGTATTTCACATGTTGCAAACCTCATTAATCGAGCATCAGTAGACGCGTGAGAGAGGAAGAACGTGAAAAACATCTTGACTTATATCGAGCAAGTGCAAACGAACTTTTGACGCAGAGCTCGGGAGAATAACAGGTTCAATTTGTGGCTCGTGTAACGATAAATCCTCTGTCACCAGAACCGGACATTTACTGGATCCAAAGACGAACGAGACAGTCGTGTTCGTAGATCGTCACTAACTACTGCTGAATTATTTGCTTTTCCTATGATAACACCGTGACAATACCATCGATATTTCTGTGCACGTTGAAAATTACGATTTTCGTTTTACTTCCCAAAAAAAAAAAAAGAGAGAAGTAAACCAGGTAGATAATTAATTATTCATATCCTACTGTTTGAATTTTGAAGTGATAATAATAAATTTCTTTCTTTCTATGCTTCCATATTTTTTAAATATTTAAATTAATGAAATTGTGAAATTACACTGCGATATAATATAGACTATCGCTATTGATTAAAAAAATGAATGCAATTATTATGATACAGATACCGCCACGAACTGTAACGTTCAACGTTTTTTTAACAGTAATATTTAACTTGATATGAGTTTATCAGCGAGGTTGATTTTTCATTTTTTTCTTTTCAATCTCATAAATTGGAAAACGCGCGTAACAAGCAGGAGTTTAAAGCGCGCTTTTATAATTTCGAAATGTTCGCGTATCGTATCGATCAATATGAAATTATGAAGTAATTTTATATATTTGCAACGTCAAATAAGTTTGATCAACAACAGAGCTCGATTGATAGAACAATTTCATTGGGTGAATTATCCCCTCGTGGCATTAAACAAACAGATCATTAAAGCAGAAAATCAGATAAAGTTATACTAATACACGAGCCTGTGCCGTCTGTAAAAGAGTTTCCACAGGAGCGTGTTTCCGCTCTCCATTGAACGAGATCGAGAAAATGATCGCGAACAAAACAAACTTGTCAGAATTATTAACACGAACGCATGAAGTGAGCTACGATTTCAAATATGAACTTTCGGCTGAACGTGTTACAAAATTGCAAATGCCCTTTGCTAATTTAAATGGCGAAAGAAAAAAGTAAACATGGGTACGAACTTGATAAATTTAGAAAAATCGCGAGAAATGAAAGACCCTTTTTAATACTGCGTCTCGATCATTGTTACTTTTTAAAAATAAAATTCCTCCCGATACAAGGTGAAAAAACTCGAAAATCGTAGAGTAATCGAAATATTATAATACGAAGTACAACTGAATAATTCATCGCATGACCGCATTTCTAGCTGGGGTTCCTTCTGGCTACTGCTCAATGAATCCAACATTTATGACACCATGCGAATGTGTAGCTTCAGTTATGCGCAATTTATACACAAAAAGAGAAAGAGAGAGAGAGGGAGAGACATTCATACACGTACAGATACATGGCGTTTAACACAAACACAAGCATAGAGATTCAGGCCATAATTTCGACCACAGTCACAGTCACAGCCGCAGACACAGACACGCAGTCTGTAATTGCAATCGCAGTCACAGTCACACTCGCACGATTATAGGCAGACACACAATACAGAAACACGAGCAGCCACCTTGCTCGCAGAAACTACAATCGCACTGATGAATCGTAGCACCGATGTTGATTTACAAATTACCGGCAAAATCGAATTATTTACTTGGTGAAACGGGGCACGGTGTCTCGGGTCGTTGGTGAAATAAAGGGACAGAGAGAGCGGTAAGTAACTAAAGCAAGCGAGCCATTCCACGCTCGAAAAACGATCGAACCGCTCCAGATTGGATCCATTCTATTCGAAGTAATTGAAGTCTTATGGAACGTTTATTCTGGTCTCAGCGCGAGCGAGGATTCTTTTTCGATCATAATCACGCGGAGTAGAGTGTGTAGTCGGCGGAGAAGCACGATAAAATCATCATAGGATAAATCTCATTTCCATTTTAAGATCCCTGATCCCGAACTTTTACAACAGCTGCCGGGCGAAATTATTTCACCGTGGCGAGGAAAAAAGATTCATCGCGCCGAAAGTTGTACGGTTCTTCGCCAAGTGAAAACGCGTTTATCTGTCGCCGATATTGACGCTGTTTCGAGCTTCCTCTGATTGCATTCCTGTTTGATGAACAGCTTCAAAGAACCGTGAACGTTTAGAAAATTGCGACTTTCATACGTGCACGTGTGTGTGTACGTGCTACAAAAGCAATATCATTTTTCGAACGTGAATTTTGGAGATTTAATTTTGCTATTTTCGTGCATCAGGATGACCAAAAAGCAACTGCGTTCCCTGAACAAATAAAAGGCGAATTTTTCACAAGAAACAGAAGTTTCGTTAGACAAAAGTTTTCATCTTTTTCGATAAAAAATGAAGAAAGTTCCGAAAACGATATCCTCATCAGTAGTGAAATTTAGCAAACCGATTCTGACATTGCTAGTTTGAAGGCTTCTTCACCGTACGCGTCAGATTTTTTTTTTTTTAACGAGCTTGCTCCGTTTCTTTTGTTGTTGTTTCTCAAAAGTAGCAAAATATGACAAAAATGTACCTTCTTGATTTCTCATTTTGAAATCGACGCCAAGCAAACGATTGTCGACGAAACCAATTTTCTAAAACAAGCTTGAAAAATCAGCTGTGAGATTACAGAATGAATTTGCAGTTTAAAATGAAATTTGTCATATTTTGAAATATACATATATGTCCACCTGTTAGACACTTTTTCCTGCCATTTAAAATGAATATAACACAATTTCGAAATACGCGCAGTATTCGTTGTGCAAGTATCAGTATAGAAGAATTCCCCGCGAGTTCGCAGCCCAAATGAAAAGCGAAAATTGATTTGATATTTCCGCAAGAGCGGGCACGATCGCTATAAATCAAGAATTTGTAGCGCGACGGAATTACCCCTGATGTTTCTGTTCTATCCGTCTACGTGAAATTTACATCGTGCAATCTACCTCCCTCGAGATAGGTCATGTTCGTGACAACGCTGAAAGCCCGTGGTTGGGTTTGTTTGATGGACAGGAAACTGGAAACTTGTAAGACGGATCAACAAACGGCCTACTGTTAATTAATTTCCCACGTAAGTGAGATTTAACGAGTGA